GGTAGGAAAACCAATCTGAATTTTCAGAGGTCTGGAGGAGGACAAACACAGGCTCTGTGACACCAAAATCCTTGGAAAATGGAATAGTGAAAGGGGTCTCTGCAGAGGTTGGAATGGGATGGGATTTTAGGGATTTAAGGGATTTAAGGTCCTTCCAACCCAACCCAACCCAACCCAACCCAACCCAACCCAACCCATTCCATGATTCCTTCCAAGGATTTGTTGCAAAGGTTGTTTGAACTCTTCTGGAATTTCAGCATCAAAAAAGTTTGGTCCTGCATTTTACTGAGAGCTGTTGATGTTTTCCAGACCCCTTTCACAGGAGAGACCTCCAAGACCTCCCCTCCTCTGAGGGAGAAGCTCAAGCATTAAAAAAAAAAAAAAGGAATTTCCTGCTCGATTTTATTGGAAAATGTCTGAACTGCAGCCAGATCCCTGCTCATTCCTTCAGTGGAAATCTCTTTTTTACTGGGAGTTTWATCCACTTTAGCAAAGACAAAAGAGGCCCAGTGGAGCCAGTTTTTTTACATGTGGTGGAAAAGAAAATTATTAATTTCACTGTTTTATTCTTCTTACCATTTTATTTTGTCATTACTGCTGTAATCAGTTCCTATTTATGTTCTGGCGGTTTGAAATATCATTTTTTCCCTTACAATTATTTTCTGTCCAGCCTTGAAAAGGAGTCAGATGAGGATAATTGCTTTTGCTCTTTGCTGAATTTCTTGCTTCTGGTATTTTAAAGTGTGAGATGATGATGATGCTTCTTTGCTTCTGTTTTAATCAAGGCATTTTGCATGGGCAGATTTCTTAGAAATCAGCAGAAAAAAAAAACCCCAAAAAACCCTGCTTTCATGGAGCTGAGTTGAAATTGCTTAAAATCACCTTATTTTTTCCATGACTTTTCACTGGATTTTCAAAAGCACAGGGACAGTTTAATGACAGCAATTCRAAGTGAGGGCAAAATTCTGGATTTTTGGTGATTTTGCCTCAAATTGAGCCTGCTCTGCCCTGTTTGGGTGAACATTCACGTTGGAACAGTTGGAAAGTTGATGATTTTCACAACTCCTGACACTGTCCAGGCTGAGCCTCCCAGGGCTGCTCACAAACCTCGCAGGGCTTTGGTTTGGGGCAAAAAAAAAGCCGCGTTTAGGGCCAAAAGTTGATGCCCTGATGGATGACACCACAGAGGGAAAGGCTGGGCAGGAGTCAGGTGTTTTGGGAAATGGGAAGATGTTTTGGTATGGATTGGTGACCCATGATCTGTGAGGGATTTAACAAATCCATGCCAAGGCAGTTGGTTTTCCATGTAAATCCCAGAATATTCCGAGCTGGGAGGGACCCACGAGRGTCAAGCACAGCTCTTGAGTGACCACCCCACGGAGGGATGGAATGTGAATCCATGGGGAGCTCCAGAGGGGCCTGGATACCCTGATTCCATGGATTGGAAGCTGGTTTGCAGCACCCATCCCTTGGATCTCTCWCTCTCCAGGGCAGCAGAGCCCTTTTGGTCCCCAAATCCACCCCAAAGCTCTGTTTCTCCTGCTCTCAGTCCCCAAAGAGCTCTGAGGGCAGAGCAGGAGCCATGATAACAGCAAATCCTGGCAGATCAGACTCAGAGCTGGACGTGCCAAAAGGGAAAAGAATATTCTGGAAAATGGGATTTTTGACATAAGGAGATATCACCCTAAACTAAACCCCTGTAAAACTTAGGTACAAAGAATCCAGCACCTGYAGGATTAAGGGAGCAAGGAATGGGAAAACTGGGATGGAGCTCCCCAAGGCCTGCTGCAAAGGTGGCTCCACCCAATCAATTTATATTTGTATAAAGCTATCAATTTATATTGATATAAATATGTCAGTTTATATTTGTAGAAATATCT